ACAAGGCACCCGCGCTGTCTCTTATTGTCTCACTGACACCTGGTTTCCTGGGACCGGTGGTGCGGATTAGTTGGAAGGGCTTGCGGTAATCGCCTACTACTCCTGCCTCCTCCATTTCTTAAGCTCGACTGGTCCACCAGGCTACCTTGTCAGCAAGGAGGCTCCGCTTGAGTTCGTGCCTATTAGTCCGTCTAGTCACATTGTGTTCTGAGCCAGGCGGGAGATTTCTTCTAGATTCCAACAGGTTCGCTGACCTCTTGGATATCCAGTGACTGGCGCATTGACGATGGATAGTGTCACAAGCAGATGCTCCTGCGTCGTGCATGGCGGCCGAGATCCTATTCCACTGAAGCTCAGGGTCATTAGGACAAGACAGCGAAAGTTTGGTACGCATTGCGTATTGACAGGCTTGCCTGACCGAGGGCTGAGGCAATTTCCCAGTTGCTAATTGGAGGAGACGCTTAGTGCGCCTCCCGGTAAAGTTCATGGAGAAACGACGGCGTAACAAGGCATGCTCAGATTCGACACAGATACTCCAGTGCGAGTGATAATCCAGGATGGAACCACGCCATCTGTAACTTATGGCAGTGTGGTCGATTTCGGTCCATGGCTGGCCAGCTACAGTAGGACGCCAAGTGGCACTTCGGCGCCCACTGTGTCAAAAAGCAGTGCTACTAAGCAACAAATGGTTCCCCGTACACAGTCGCAGCTGACGCTCGCCGTTGTCAGTCCGTTCGGCGTTAAGCCCAAGCCGCTATTCACCGGAATCCAATCAACCGACGACAGCTGTGCCTTGGAGCTTAGAATGATACCTGCACCCGCTTGACGCATGAATGCTGCGTTGGCGTCTCCGGATGCGTGCAACGAATAACTAGAGGATAAGCCTGGTACTGTTTATTCAATAACCCCGTTAGGGTCATTGATCCTAGTTTCGGACACACAACACACATCAATACCCAGTGTATGCAAGGTGCGTGCGAGTGCAGCCTGTTGACCTGTTTGTCTTAGTATGCGAACATTGTATGTCGCCATGGTAACGGGGTGGCGTGACCTTATACGGGACTTTTGGCGATAGGCGTCCGATGGGTTCTGTGGAATGGTAGCTGCAGATGGTTCTACTCCAGTGGCACTTCGGTTGCCGTCAATTAAGCTGGGAATTATAGAAGGAAGGTTAGTAGTGGGGGTCGGATGGGAGTAAGAGAAAAAGGTGAAAAAGAAGGGGGACGCCAGCAGTAACATGTTTTCGCTTATCCGCCCTGCTGGATGCAGCAGATAAGGTGACCCTTGATAATCTGCGCGGCGGCCGATGCAGGATGAAGTTTATGTTTGAAGAAGATGTCATGGTTTTATGTGGGCTGAGATACTGCCGGGGCGCCCAGACCTAGGCAGGAGGACGATTAGGGTCCTCATCCAAAGCCTTTGGCTCAAAAGCCTGTCCGCAGCGCAGCGGGGAGGTGTCGATGATTTAGTTTTACAGAAATGTACGCCATCTCATTTCAAACTTCCAACCTGGAGGACCAGGAGACTGAGTTTGTCTGACCTCTCACCATTGACCAACCTGGAACAGTAGCTCTCAAGGTGCCCGGAGGCATCACCCAGTATAGCTCAATGGGTCAATGAGGTACGCAAACCGTCACACCACGTTAAGGTCCAGTCTCGTTGCGGCGGACTACCCACAGTAGCCACTTAAAATTTCTGACCGCAGCTGCAAAAATTGTTCCAGGGAAGAGATGGATTATCTGTCATCCAAGACTGTATCTTGTTTGGTGAACGTATTGTCATTCCAACTGAACTCCAATTCTAAGACCTAAAAGAGCTTCATGCTGGACAGCCCGGTTGCAACAGAATGAAGTCTCTAGCGAGAAATTATGAACACTGACCGTTTATAGATTCTCAAATGGCAGAGTTAGCATGTTCGTGCGCAAAGTGGGCCCTAGGAGCGAAATCATCGTGGAAATGTGGACTCTTCTGCTGACCGACGCCCACGAAACCATAATCAAGGGTACACCTTGATTTTGTGGTGCCAATCAAGGCACGGAACTTCTTACTCGTTGTCCATGCATACAGAAAATGTGGAACGGCTCAACACCGCAACTATCGCCACCTTCATGGAAATACTCAGTCGGTTCGGTTTTCTGGAATCCCTTTCATCCGACAACGGAACTCAGATTACTTCTTCACACTGCTGAATTTTGTGCGCTACATGGCATGGACACGTATGTTCACCTCCTCATCATCCACCCTTCCATGGGCAAGCTGATAGACTTGTGGTTTGCTCACAGCTAACGAATACGGATCAATTCAAGAGGTCCTACAGACTTTTCTGCTACCATGCAGAATTTCGCTTAATCCACGGACACCACAGCACAATCGATTTCACTCAGGAGGTTTCGAACGAAGTTTGATGTGGTAAGACTGCTTGCTAATGGAGCATCGGTACAACCAAAGACATCACGCAATACCGTGACATTTTGACGATGAACTTTTGTCCAAAAGACGATCGAAACGACAAGATCTCGTGGACTTCTGGATTGGTTATAAAAGACACAGCCATGTCTGCTATGAAGTGGCCGTAAGCGATGACCAGTGGGTTCGCCACATCAAACAACTCAGGAGATACACAGCGCTTGACAGAAGAGAAGATGCTTGTCTACGCACATTGAAATACTTTTGGACAAGTTCAAGCAGTCAACGACAGGTTACTCAGCAACGTAGCGCAAACATTCTTACAGACTCCTGATTCTGAGTATCGGCCCAGAAGATGGACGGACCGCTGTGGTCGCTGTCATAGCGTCACAGGTAAGATCCAGATTGAAATCACATGACAGTGGACTTCGTATGGGGAGATGTTAGGAGGGGCACGTCGTAGGTAAATGGACGAGTGATCCTACATTGACACTTTCCCATTTTAAAGCAGTTAGTACCCTTTAGTTGTTTGAACAATGCAGTATGTTGACTAAGTCTGGTAGATGCATGCATTTTACTTTATCTCGTCAGTACCATTATCTGTGGTACTGACAAGGTGATACGAAATGCATGCGTCAACTAGCTTTCATCTTCTTACCGCATTTTGCAATTTATACAACTGTTTGAAAAATTCCGTTTGCATTATCGCATCGTTCGGCCAGATGTATGTTCTCGGGCATTCTGTTACTATTATTATTAGGTGGAGTAGAACCATGAACATACAGTTACACTGGGACTGCATGAATGGCGGCTGTCCGTACTGTGTAAATATCTTGTGGGTGTTAACTTGGTGTCTGAAGCTTCGTTTACTTTGTCAGCTAATTGTGGCGGCCGGGTGATAATATGGAAACCTTTTCACCACACGATTTTCCACATGGGTATCTCTAGTTTTGGGCTACACGAGGTTGACCCAACTGAACTTTACAGCATGTCTGGTTGAACACGGTAGTTTCGCATTCGCATCATCAGACTTCGTGTGTAATACTTTGCGTGCGTACCATCACTGTGTTTCGACTTCCGTTACTTAAGATTGCATTGGGATTGTCTCATCTTCACTCCACACACTTGTGCTAATTAAGTGCTACACCAGCCCCAAGGCTGCCTTGTTACCACTCCCCAGTCATTCTGTTTGTTTTATTGCCTTGATGCACGATTAACCGTTTAATGCGATTTGCGTTATGTATAAATGGTCTTGAGTGTTACCTCTAATCTTCATCATATAAGAACGTATTTTAGGTGCTACTCGCGACTCTATCGTGCGAGCCTACCAACGCTTGCTCCACTGCAGATCACGAACGATATGCAGCAGATACATTTGCGGCAGTCTATATCCTTAACGACTACACGAGTGCGGTCCACTCATACTCAATTTTTCTTTCTTCCTAGGTTAGCATCGTCCTAGCGTTATTTAAGCGGATATCGACCCTCAGTTGTAGCGTTGATTGTACGACAGTTTGAGGTCATTATCGACAAACACTGTTCGATAACGTATTATTTATCCTTCCATTCTGAATGCATCTGTATCACCTATTCGGCGAGGTTTAAGACCCCTGTCACTATTTTTGGGATAGTGCTATTATTATCGGCAGTACACAGAGGATGACGGTAGCTGGTTATACAACTAGTGACAAGTGGTTCATTACCTACTACCTTACAAATGTCGGCCTTGTACCCAGGCTCGCCGATTAAAACTTAGCGAGAGCTATTTCCGATTTCAAAATACTGGGGGTCTACTGTTTGCAGTAGGTTTTATGGCGCTGGATATTCGTAACAAGCCAGGTCTACTCTAGTTACATCTTCTTGTCTTGACTCCATATTCGACCTGTTAGCTAAGATTCAGTCCTCTGCAGACTTCATTGCGCACCGAGCAGGATATTTCGGCTGTAAATGTTTCCTCACCGACAGAAATTACATCTTTAAGACAATGAGATGTAGTTTTCTCGATGAATATTGGTCTTTACGTAACTATAAAGATGGGATTTGTCTCCGGAGCAACTCAGCGCGCCGGCGGTCATCTCAAACTACCATTACTTATATGATCTCGTGATCTCGCGCACACAGTTTCTAAATGCACGGACTATGCGTAACGGCTTCTTTAGATTACTGTTGCCATTACCCCCTGAACCTACAGTTTGATCTTCTCTGTCATACCTTACGACCGTAATTGTGGAATTTCCGATTTTGTCATTAGCTTCAATTTCTTATTCTTCCACATGCTCTATCTCTCACGCTTTGGCGCACCCACCGCGTGGTAAATTATTGAGCTACCTTCAATTTTTCTCAGTTTTATGGTTCGTAACGTAAACTCGTTCACTCTCCATGCTTGTTTTATAATTGCTACCGGTTACACTTTTTCGGTTTCATACCAAGCGAGTATCTCGGGTCCTCTGCGTCTGAAAGAAGTGCTAGAGATTTTTGACGAATGCACCCTTTTGACACCTTTAAAATATACAATTCCCGTGAGGGATGAATACCCCAAAATATTACAACTAAAATCTTACTACTTTGCTTTTATTTCCTCCCATATTTTTAAGGCCAGCAGACAGAAAGTAGACGGGCAAGTTCTCTGCTGGGTTTGCACTTACAATTTCAAGCTTGCTCGCTCCCGTGAGCGTTCAGATCACGGCATCAACAAGCGCCGCAGCGATGACATTGACCAAAGCCGTTCGAAGAACGAACGCATCATGTGAGTATTTTTCTCCAGTTTGCTAAATGTTCAATTGCATCTCAGCTTCTTTATTCCTACAAACAGATTCTATTGCGATGAGACTAGACCTTTAGATTGTGCGGTAGTTCCATTGCATCAACGATCCATTGAGCTATGTTGGTTACTGCTTCTTCTACCTTTTGAAACTCCAGACTTGTCTGTGGTTAGAAGCCAGACCAACCCAGTTTCCTGGTCATCTAGGTAGGGAGTTTGAGTGCGGATGGCTCCCTATTGCTTAAGACGGATTCTGTGTAATACCTTGCCAAAGTAGCTTGCGGTCAGGAGTGTTTCGGAGCTGCTTCCCCCAACTCTGCACTCCTCAATCTATCGGTTCTGTCCTGATTTGGACTCGGGAAGTAGAGGTAGCCCGACGCATACTGGTTGACGGACACTAAGCTGGTCCGTAGCCGAATGGACAAAGCCGTATGCCTTGCAACCCGGAGGTCGCGGGTTCAAGCCTACGTAGATGACCCCCGCAGTATCCTTAGCCCACGTGCGACCGGTGGTGTTTGCGTGGCAGCGAAGCGTCGGTACGACGTACAGCTTATGCCATAGAGCTCCGCGAGCAGCGCTTGACACAGCGGTTGTATGTTCACTGTTGAGTGTCTGGATTGTGACACGCAATTTCGCTTGAGGTCACTGTTTACTTCGAAGCAAACCTCTAGCATTTCGATCCCTGGGACCGCATCCAACGTGAAGGGTTTCGAAGCTGC